CTATCTCCAATAAACCACCAGAAAACCGGAAGTGGCGCTGTAGCTCAAGTGGTAGAGCGCTCGCCTTGAGCTGAAGAGCTGAGGGACAGCACTCAGTCCCAGAGTTCAAGCCCCACAACCGACACACACACACACACAAAATAATAGCTTTATTAGTAGTTGGCCTAAAATCCACTTTGTATATTTGCGCTTTGAGATAGTACTTTTTGTGGCTCATGTAACTGTAATGTCTTATTACTTTTCCTCAAGCTGGCATTAACCTCCTAGTAAACTCAGTAACTGAGATTGTAGGAAGTACCATGCTGCCTGGGGTGATTATTATTAAGCCTTCTACCACTGAGCCACCTTCCCAGTTCTGATTATTATTATTTATGTTTTTTGTTGGTCATGGGGCTTGAACTCTGGGCTTGGGCACTGTCCCTCAACTCTTCAGCTCAAGGCGAGCGCTCTACCACTTGAGCCACAGTGCCAGTTCTGGTTTCCTGGTGGTTAGTTGGAGATGAAAGTCTAATGCAGTTTCTTGCCCAGGCTGGCTTTGAACTGCAGTCCTCAGATCTCAGCCTCTTGAGTAGCTAGGATTACAGGTGTGAGTCACTGGTGGCCAGCTGATTATTTTGCCAGTCCTGGGGGCCTGAACTCTGGGCCTGGGCACTGCATCTGAGCTTCTTTTGCTCAAGACTAGCATTCTACCACTTGAGCCAATTCTGGCTTTTTCTGTGTACGTATTGAGGAATCGAACCTAGGGCTTCATGCATGCTAGGCAAGCACTCTACCACTAATTCACACTCCCAGCCCTGTTTTCACTATTTTTTGAGATTAGGGTGTCTCACTGTGTCTCGTTGGCTGGATTCCAACTCCTGGGCTTATGGAGTCCTCCCAAGTACCTGGTACTACAGTAGCATGTACCATATTTAGTTTACCTTAAGTGTTTTACACTTTTTTTTTTTTTTTTTGGTCATGGGACTTGAACTCTGGGCCTGGGGGCTATCCCTCAGCTCTTCAGTTCAAGGCTAGCGCTCTACCACTTGAGCCACAGTGCCACTTCTGGTTTTCTGATGGTTTATTGGAGATAAGAGTCTCATGGACTTTCCTGCCTTGGCTGGCTTTGAACTGTAATCCTCAGATCTCAGCCTCCTGAGCAGCTAGGATTAGACATGAGCCTCTGGTGCCTGTCAAGTGTTTTATACTTTAATGCACATAGCATAGGAAATTTTGCAATCATTATTGAAGATTTAAGGTATTTCTACCAGCCCCAAAGAAACGCCCATGCTTTTTTGCAGTCATCCTTTATTCACACCCCTAGTTCCAGTAGCTAATTTAGTGTCTTTACATAACATTTTAAAAATCAAGTCATGTAGTGTTTTTGTTTTGTTTTGGTAGGTTGTGGGGCTTGAACTCAGGGCCTGGGCACTGTGTGAGCTTTTTTGCTTAAGGCTAGTGTTTTATCACTTTGAGCCACAACTCCACTTCTAGTTTTTGTCTCTTGAGGACTTTTCTGCCCAGGCTGGTTCAAATCATGATCCTCAGACCTCAGCCTCCCGAGTGGCTAGGATTTTCAGGCATGAGCCACCAGCGCCTGGTTTGTATCAGTGCTTTATATTGCTGTAGGATATTCCTGGACTGAGCATAGCACTGCTATCTGTAATTCCAGCTACTCTGCCTAGAAGGCAGAGAAGGGAGGACCAAGGCTTGAAACCAGCTAGGGCAAAAAGTTAGCAAGACTCCATCCATTCTCAGCAAGCCAAGTGGAGAAGCTAGGGTCTGTACTAGGAAAAATATAAAGGGTGTATGAAACTAATCTTAGCTGCTCATCTAAATCTTTGCTGACAGGTTTACAAAGAACAATTCTACAGCAGTGCGAAAACATTTTATTTATGAAAGTCTTTAGTATACAACTCAGAAGCTCTACATAGATACAAGGGACAGGATGTACTTAACAAATTCTCTTGTCTTTTACTGTAAGGTTTAGTAAGTGTGACAGAACACAGTAATACTTAGAAGCAGTAAATCTTTTCTGTGGTATTGGCCATGGGACCTAGGGCATAGTTTTCTATCACACCCACTAGCTCTCTTAAATTTTGATTTGGATTTGTAGCTATTATTTTTAAATAAGCAAGGATAGAATGAGCTGTAGAATTTTAAGAATATAGTAAATGAAAATTACACAGTGATATAAACACAAGTGCTTATACTCTTTTACGTTTTTCAGAGTTACAGTATTGGTGCCATAATCAAATGATTGGCCCAGTTTAAAACTGCTAGATTTTCTAGTATGGAGGGTGCTGAGCTGCATTTCTACTCTATCTCTACTGAAGCTATGGTGTAAGTAGCTGCCATCAGGTCATGCTTTTGCCCACAATGTTAGAACTGAGAGGAATCTTGACATTAAAAGTACCTAAGTTAATAATATCAAGGATGAGTCTCCTTAGAAAATGGAATGTACAGAGGCTTAGATAAAAACCACTGCAAAGAATGTTTTTTCCCCCTGGTTTCAGGACTTGAACTCTGGGCCTTGGGTTCTACACCACAGCACCACTTCTGGATTTTTCTGAGTAGTTTATTGGAGATAAAAGTTTCACAGATGTTCCTGCATAGCTGGCTCTAAACCATGATACTTGGGTCTCAGCCTCTATGTAGCTAAGATTACAGGCATGAGCCACCCACGCCTAGTGAATTTTTGAGCTTTAAGATGATAACTTTTCAGAGTTATTGGACCTGAAGAACCCAGGGACAGTACATAGATAACAGATAAAAGTCAACAGGGAAACAAGAGCTTCTGACTAATGAAGGGGGGACAGTAGAAAAATATTTACAAAGAAAAACAGGAATGAAGAAATATTAACCAGACATTAAAAAATTAGTTGTTTTTAATCATATTGAGGCCCCTTCGGGCACCCAACACCTTTTCTTTCTTCTCCTTTCGTTCTTGCTCACGCTTTTTCCGTTGCTCTTCCCTAAAAGGAACAGGTAGGTCATAGGTTAGGTCCTAGCGGACAACTTCAAACTAGTACACAAACTTCAATGACATCTAACACACTTGTGAAAATATTCTAATACCTGGTCGTGTTGTTCAAAGGACTAGAAGTAGGTATTTGCGTTTTCTGTGACCTCAGGATTTTAAAATCATGCATGGAATGGGAACCAGAAGTTACTGACTACAGTGATTTAATTAAATCTCTACTCCTATTAGGCTATCAAAAATCACACTCACATGTCAGGCACTAGTGGCTCACATCTGTAATCCTAACTACTCGGGAGGCTGAACTCTGAGGGTTGCTGTCTGAAGCCAGCCTGGGTAAGAAAGTCTGTGAGACACATCTCCAATTAAGTCAATAAAAAGCTGGACATGGAGCTGTGGCTCAAGTTGTGGAGTGCTAGCTTCGAGCACATAAGCTCAGGGACCCTGAGTTCAATCCCTAGGATGGGAACCAAAAAATAAATAAATAAATAAAATGTAGCCAGTTGCCGGTGGCTCACGCCTGTAATCCTAGCTACTCAGGAGGCTGAGATCTGAGGATCCCAGTTCAAAGCCAGCCTGGGAAGGAAAGTCTATGAGACTCTTCAATTAACCACCAGAAAACCAGAAGTAGTGATGTGGTTCAAGTGGTAGAGCGCTTAAGCCTTGAGCTGAAGAGTTAAGGACAAGCCCAGGCCCAGAGCTCAAGCCCCAGACCACTGACAAAAAAAAAAAAAAAAGTTTAAATTCACAATCACATGGTCTGGTCACAGAGCTAAAATTAGAAGTAGGATCTACTACTGACTTTGACCTGTGTGTGTGTGTATATATTATTATTGTTATTTTTTTTTGTCAGTCGTGGGGCTTGAACTCTGGGCCTGAGCGCTGTCCCTGCACTGTTCAGCTCTAGGGGACCACTCTACCACTTGAGCCACAGCACTACTTCAGTTTTCTGGAGGTTTACTGGAGATAGGAGTCTCAGGGTCTTTCCTGCCCGGGCTGGCTTCGAACCGTGATCCTCAGATCAGGATTACAGGAGTGAGCCACCGGCACCGGGCTTTTTTTTTTTTTTTGTCGTGAGGCCTGACCTCTGGGCCTGGGTGCTGTCCCTTAGGTCTTCAGCTCAAGTCTAGTGCTCTACCACTTGAGCCACAGCACCACTTCTGGCTTTTTCTGCTTATATGGTGCTAAGGAATTGAGCCCAGAGCCTCATGCACGTAAGGCAAGCACTCTACCACTGAGACACCTTCCTAGCCCTCTATTATATTTTTCTAGAGATCATTAATTTAAAAACAGCCCAGGATCATCATGTTAACTAACTTTTCTTTGTTTCTTTTGTGTGTGAGTTTGAACTCAGGGCCCTCTTGTCTGCCTTTCTCTCTCAAGGCTGGTGCCCTACCACTTGAGCCACAGTTGTACTTCTGGCTTTTTCCTGATTAATTAGACTTTTCTGCCTAGTCTGACTTTGAACTATGATTCTCAGATTCTAGCCTCCTGAGTAGCTAGGATTACAAGTGAGAGTCACTGGTGTCTCGCTCTTATCATCTACTTAATAACACATGGTAAAGGCTTTAGCAGAAGCTAGGTATAGACAAGAATCAAGGGATGGGTGGCCCCGTACGAGGAGAGTGCTCGTCAGTGGTTCTTGTCTCACCCAGGACCAGCTACCACCAAGCAGGCAGTGATCTGGGTACAACTCGCTCTTGTGGTAAAGAAAACCTCCAAAGTCCTGGATTTAATAATCTTCCTTGTTTCTTTGAGAGTAATTTATATCCACCCAGGCCCTAGGTGCCCTGGGCCTTGAGCATTGAGGTCTGGAGGGATACTGCGTGCTTTGCCTGGGAGAACAGGTCATGCAAGGCCTGTGCTTTGAGTTTTCTGAATCACCGGTACAGTTCTGTACCCAAAGCAGATATTTGGGCTCAAACTAAACCTGATTTGGAATCTGCCACCCTAGAGCCTAGTCACACTATTACAGAACATTCTATAGATTCCTCCTTGTAGTCTGGATATGTTTTGTATCCCATGGGTTCATGTGCTGGAAGCTTGAGCCACAATATAATGTGCTAGACTCCTTAAGAGTGGAGCCTGGTAGAGTATGTGGGTATTGCCCTTTGAAAGGTTGGGTTTTGAGGGACTAGGTAGAAAATGAGGCCACTGTGTTTGAGCTCTTCACATGCTGCTATTGTTTTTTTTTTTTTCAGTGGCAGGGAATAAGCTCAGAGCCTTCTTCTTAGGCAAACACTATCACTTGAGCATTCTAGCTTCTTGAATGTGCTTACGCCATGTGATCCATCCACCATGTGAAGCGCCAGAGTGCAAAGCTCCCCCTAGTGCCTGACTTGCTTGCACTTTCAGACTTCACGAAGCAATACTGTTTTAAGTAAAAAGGGTTAAGTTAGCCACTTCTGACCTTCCTAATACTACTAATGAGGCTACCCTATCTTTTGGAGGTGCTTTTGTATACTGTGGTTTGAAATTAGAAACATTCTCAAACTGGATAATTATTTACTCACCTGGTTTGGAGAGGAGGCTGTTTGTAAGATTTCTTATAGACGCTGACTCTGCTTGCATGTTCAGTGAGAGAATTATTTTCTTTAGAGTGTCCCCATGGTTTCAGCTTTCCTAATGTAGCACAAACAATTTATAGATATCTTATTTACAAGTCTGTTGTCTTCATCTGTGGCTACTTGCTTCCTAGCAGCATTTATACTGTCTCACATAATTCCTAGTACATCCCCAAAATACTTAGATTCCATATTCCAGATATGTCAGGTTTTTCTTCTAAAAATGAACATGTGTCCTATTTTAAAATTCCTATGAAGTCTCAGAAAAAAAAACTTATACAAAAACACCCTTAACAGATTCCAAAAGAAACTATTACAGGGCTGAGAATGTAGCTTAATGGTAGAGTGCTTGCCTAGCAGACATGAAGCCCTGGGTTCGATTCCTCAGTACCACATAAACAGAAAAAAACTGGAAATGATGCTGTGGCTCAAATGGTAGAGTGCTAGCCTTGAGCAAAAGAAGCTCAGGGATAGGGACCAAGCCCTGAGGTCAAGCCCCAGAATTGCAAAAAAGAAAAAAGAAAGAAACTTACAACCAAGTATCATCTATGCTAATGTTACTGAGATATTATATTTAATATTAAAGTAGCATTTTGAGCTGAGTGTCAGTGGCTTATGCCAGTAATCCTAGCTACTCAAGAGGCTGAGATCTGAGGATCATGGCTTGAAGCCAGATTGGGCAGGAAAGTGTGTGAGAGTCATCTCCAATTCACCACCAGAAAACCAGAAGCAGCACTGTGTCTTAAAGTGGGAAGAGTGTTATCCTTGAGTGAAGAAGCTCAGGGATAGTACCTGTTTGGAGTTCACGTCCCACAACTGACCTTACCCCAACCCCGCAAAAAAAAAAAAGAAAAAGCATTTTACCAGTGTATTTCTGTTATTCTGACACTATTAACCTATTACAATGCACTGAGAATGGAGTGAGTTGGGACCACTCTGTTGGGAGTAGAACTGGGACTAGATCCAGCAGTTCTCATTTCTAGGTATTTACCCAGAAGATTCACAATTCGTTTATTGACAAGACTCCTGCACTCCATGTTAAGAGCACTACTAGTACTAGTACTCACAGTAGACAGGCCATGGAATCAGCCTAGTGTCCATTCAACAGATGAATGGATAAAGAACATCATCAGTGTACATAATAGAATATTGTCAGCCTTGAAAAGATGGAAATCCTATCATTTGCAGCAACATGGATTGGAATTGGTATACACCAAGTCAAGTAAGCCAGACATGAGAAAGCACACACTGCATGTTCTCTTGTGTGTGGAATCTGAAACAACTGAACTCAAAAGCAGAGTGGGATTGTGGTGGAGAAGGGTCTGCAGGATTGGGGAGGTACGGGTTAGGAACAGAAGATTTCAGTTAGGGGAAATAAAAGAGGTATATTGTATAATATGACTCTGGTTAACAATGTATTATTATATATTTGAAAGTTACTAAAAATTACTAAGTTACTAAAAGTTACTAAGATTAAAAAAAAGGTGCAAAGGCTCAGATACTATGTACCTACCATATTCATAGTAGTGTTCAAAACAGACAAAAAGTGAGAAGTTAGCATGGGCTAACTTTTCAATTTTTCTTGATAATAGCTGAAATTATATTAATTTTGAGTAGTGATCTTGTTTACAAGTTATAACTTTGGTTAAAGCGTAAATCAATTAATTTTAAATCATGGGTCCATCTGGAAGCAGGGACAAGGGAAGGAATTGTAAATAAAGTGTGGCTTCTGCTCAGTTAGCAGAAGTTGTTCATTTATGCATTAATTGATTTTTAGTGTTGGGGATCAAAGCCAGGGCTGGCCTCATGTATGCTAGGCAAGCATTTTCACATTGATCGACATTCACATTTTTTCCCCTCATCTTTACATAATCATTGACTCTGAAGCCTTCTACAGGCTCCATAGCAGCAAACACCCACCTTTGTGTGGCTCATAGTTGAGGGGACGAGACAGACTTGCTTTCAGATCAAACACTGGTTTCTTATCGGAGACTGGAGTCTTCATTGCCATGCTTGTCAACTTGAATGGAGTAATGACTAAAAAAAAGACCCCCAAACATTAGAGAGCTTAGTTAGACCAAAGACCTATTATAGTTCTTTTCATTTTTTAAATCATATGATCAGTGGGGTTTTCTGTGACCCTCCCAATCACTTGCTGCAGGATGAAGTTTTTGCACATGATTTTGTACATGTGGAAAGGATTTAAGAGTGTTTGTATTTGTTTTTTTACCAGAAGCAGAATTCCCCTTGGTGGTCTTTAACTTGGGTGTTCCGAGCACAGCCTGGCTTTTAGGGGTAATCCCAGATAGAGACACATGTGGAGACTTTCTGGCTGGAGTCTTGGTCAGTGAACCCTTATGTTCGTTATCTTTAGTAGCAGCTGAAAACCTAAAATGACAGTGGAGGGCATCACGAGAGTACTTATGGCAGGAGGTAAAAGCACTGGACCATCACCAGGCAGATATGGTAGAGGACATTAACCATGGTAAGGCTTGTGGTATATGCCTGCAGGCTTCAGGTTAGAGTTCAGGAACCAACTGGAGATGCTCTCCTTTTCTGCTTATTTCTGGTGAAGTTAGCTTCACTTTTATATTTAAGCCAATGGAATAATTTATTTCTAGTAAGCATACAGCAAACTAATAAAATCAAGATTATCTATCTATATACATACACATATGTCTTATTTTCTGTCTTAAAAATAAAACCTGTGCTTAAGGATATTGGATCGAACAAGAAAACTGAATCCAAATGACAAGATTCTAACTTATAAAACATCACTGATCTTTCTTTGTTCTCAATCCTTTTTCACTTCCTTTTCTGTTTTCCCCCTTTAAGCAAACACTAGAATGAATCTGAAGGCTGTTGTTCAATGCTGGACAGCTTGTCTAACATGCTCAAGGACTGAGTTCGATCTCTACTACGAAAAAAACCCCCAAACAAAAAGATTTAAAAACTAAACATATTTAGAAGGTTTGGAGTGATCTCTTTACCTGACGTTCATCTTGGTTGCTGAGAGCGTGGTCCGCCTGACTGACCCCTTCAGACACACTGCGCTCTGCCTTGCAGGGTTGCGGGACTGGCCTGGAGAGTGGCACTTTTGTGTGGGAGTGCAGGCCACAGGGAGTCTTCCTCTGGGAGGAACTGGAGTCACTACCTTTCCCTTACTGCCAGGCTGCTTCTGAGAAAGAAATGTACTACTTTAAAAGCTTGGCTGCCAATGTAGTACTGTGTCCAAACAGCAAAGCTCAGGGCTGGGAAGGTGGCTCAGTGGTAGAGCGCTTGCCTTGCATGCATGAGGCCCTGGGTTCGATTCCTCAGCACCACATAAGCAAAAAGAAAAA